CTATTGACCTTTTCCATATTGGTTAACATCATCAATCAATGCTCTAACATACAACATTGGATAGGTCATACATCCTTGGTGGATTCTCTTGACCTCTTCAATATAGGTTAACATCATCAAACAACGCTCTAATAAACAACTTAAGAATGGTCAAATATCCCAGCTAGATTCAAGTGACCTCTTCTCTACTGCACATTGATACATTTATTATAAATTCCTCTTTCTAGAAAAGTTATAACCTGATTATCATCAGGCTTCCACTCAATTAACAATGTTGGTGTGTTGCTAGACTATTGACAGGGTACACTACTTTGACCCATCCCATCAGGGATGCATGATATCCGCACGTATTAGTGTGAATGCAGACTGCTTCCAAGAAAGTATGACTTGATTCTGACCATCATCATCCCTTCTTTATATCAGATATTAGTGGCCCCTTGCTCAACTACTATTGCTAGCACACTCTCCCTTTTAGCTCTTCACCTGACTGTCGACCACTACCAATCACAATCAGACTTCCTCTTGTTGTCAGATTTCTATCTGACACCAGACTTCCTCTCGTTGCCAAATTTCTACCCGAAATCGGACTTCTGCCTATCGCTAGACTTCCTCCCATCATCAAATTTCTATCCGACATTGGACTTCCACTTATTGCTAAATTCTTACCCCACATCGTACTTCCTCCCATCACCGAATTTCTACTCGATGCCGGACTTCCTCCCGTCACTAGATTTCTACCCTACACCGAACTTCCACCTATCACTAGATAATGATCCTCTCGACCTTTGTTGCCTAATTACAGCCCTTTCCGACCTCCATATATTTACAACGATCTTTTTGACCTCCATTGTTAACTGATTATGAATCTCTCTTGGTCGAGGGATCTCTCAAAGAAGGGCAATCCCACGTCATGACCTCTATATAGGGAGGGGCCTTGTAGTTAGATAAGGGATACTGCTTATCTAAAAATAGGGGAATGCCTCCCTTATATTAAGAGGACTGAAGGGGAGAAGAAGGGAATAAAAAAGGATAGGAGGAGACTCCTACTCAATAAGGGGCTCTAGACCTAGACAGGGGATACCATCTGAATAGGACCAAGGGAAGGCCACGGCCTGAGGAGAAGAAGGGAATAAAAGAGGAAATGAGGAGAAGACTCCAACTTAGTGAGGGGCTCTAGACCTAGATAGGGGATACCCACTGAACAAGATCAGGGGAAGGCCTCATCCTTAGGAGAAGAAGTGAAGAAATAAGGAAAGGAGGAGGAGACTCTTACTCAGTGAGGGGCCCTAGACCTGGATAGAGGATATCGCCTTAACAGGACTATGGGAAGGACTCAGCCTAAGGAGAAGAGGAAAAGGTGGGGAGGTGTAAATTTCTATACCCCAGGAGGGGGTATTTATAGTGGAGGACGGGAGTCATGGATGTTATGAAAAGAAAAAAAAAAAGTTGGCGGTTAGCCAAATCATTGAATAATCGCAACCAACCACTACGTTTGGCACTAGACCCGAAGCCACGTCAGCCATGCCACGAGAAGTGCAGGTAGGTGCAAGGTAGCAACAAGCAGCTCAAATAGGTGCACGGGAGCGAGCTTGCACAGGCACGAGGGCGGGTGGGGGAGATGCAGTGGTTATGCAGTGACGGAGGCTACAGCCGGCGGCAACTAGTCTATCCCAAAACATTTTTGAACCAAATTTTTGGCTTTGGAAGGCAAAATCGAACTTTTTTTGAGTCACTGGGACAAATTTTTGTCATTCCGGACTCAATTTTAAAACTTTTAAAGCTATTCAGGACCTCTATGCCCAAGACCAGATTCTTTTTGAAATTGAAATCATGTCAAAAATTTCTTGAAAGTTGCAATATATATTTTTGGGCTCAACAAGCTTTGATGTCCAAATTTAGTGGGGCCACTGATACATCATCAAAAAAAATATCTTGATCGGGCAAAAATCTCGAGGCAAAATCAAGTTGGAAACTTTAAAAATTAAAATTGGGACCATCCAAACTTTAATGGAAGCAAACTTATAGTCAAACTGAATGTCTCAAAAATACGAACAGAACGATCCCAAATTCGAGTCAATCCTAGTCCAAATGGGTCCAAATCAAAGACCCGAAGAACTATTGGAAGGTTCAAACTACAATTTGTATTATCAAACAGTTTTAAAATGTGACATGCTTATAGTCGAATCGAGCGGCTCAACAAGCCAAATCCAATAAGCTCAAGATTGCAAAATTCTGATATCATTAAAACATTTAAATGCCCAATAAATGACCGACGATCAAGGGATTCAACATCGTCCATCCATCCAAACCACTCCCAAACTACCCTTGATCTTCCACCTATTTACAAACCATTCCACTCTAGAAAATCTATAAATAAAATCCCTACTTCTCATAAAAAGGGGGACCCCAAGCAAGGAATTTAGAGAGATTCAAAATCGTCCAACCATCCAAGCCGCTCCCAAACTGCCCTTGATCTTCCGCCTATTTACAAACCATTCCACTCTAGAAAATCTATAAATAAAATCCCTACTTCTCATAAAAAGGGGGACCCCAAGCAAGGAATTTAGAGACAGATCGTAGATCGCTCTTGCTTCCTCGCTCCTACTCGATCACCACCCAAAGTTCTGTCAGACCACCGGCCATGTCGGAGTTCTGCCGAACTTCCACTAAACCGCCGATTGGATGCTAGATGCCACCGAGCCATCAACTAATGCCTGAGTTCTGCAAAACCATTGCCTGATGCCAGAGTTCCACCAGACCATCTCCGAGAAAATTAAAAAATAAATAATCAAAAAATTAATTTCGGCTACCATCTTGGCCTCCTGGCGACAGCCCGACAAGCCCGCTTGGCCTCGTGGTGGTAGCCCGGCAAGCCCGCCATCCAGGCCCAATAATCCTTCAATCTGCACAGCCCAGTAAGCTCGCCACATCCAGGCGCGCGCCAACCTGATCCCGCACCCTGTAAGCCCACGCCAGCCCGACAGGCCCGTGTACGCCCGCCATCCGGGCTCGCGCCAGCTCCTTGTGCGTCCGCCCGGCAGCTTGCTCCCACGCAGGCCCTGTGTTTTGAACCTGGGTGGGTAGGGGAAAATTTCACACCCCTAACCAAATTTCTGAACAGTAATGCATTTTTAATGTTAATTCTTATATTTAAAATAATTTTGATAGAAAATCATCTGTTTACAATGTGTTTGAAAAATCGGGACCGGACCGGCCGATTCAACCGTGAATCGGTCTGGTGGCCCAGTCCGATCAAGCTCCACAACCGACTCTGCATCAAATCGGATAGGACCAGTGATTCAACCAGTGAACCGTTGAACCGTTCGATTTGGACAGAAACCGACCAATTTATAAAAAATTATTTTGTTTAATTAAAAATTTTTAAAAATATTTTTAGCTTAATTAAAATTTTAAAACTTTTTAATATTATTTATTAGATTGATGATTAATATCACCATAATACATGCAAGTTATCTTTAAATAAAGCACATAGTTGTTTTGTAAAAAGATGTGCACTTCTTACTTTATTAATGGTACGTTAAAGGAACATCCTCAAACTCTCCTATGATGTGGGACTAAAAAAATAGCAATGATAGTGTTAGATGTGAATTGGGCTAGTAATATATATATAAAAAAATTTGCTAATATATATTATTATAAAATTTGAATAATATCTATATAAATTTGCGTAATATATTTAAAATCTAATATTAAATTTATATATTATATTAAATATTATCTTTGAATATATTAATAACATTAATAATTATTTTAATTTTTTGATTATTTTTGTAATTTATATTATATTTTGTTTAATATATTTTTAACTTTATAATATCTAAATATCATATATTTTATTATTCTATCATTGTATATTATGATCATAATTTTATTTATATATAATTTAGATATATATTAAGTATTATTCTGAATAAATTATTCTTAAACGATATTTTATTATATAATATTTATTATATATTTTAAAATTTTATAATATATTATTAAATATTATATACTTATATTATATGATTTTTATTTTATTAATTTTTAATAATATTATTATTTATTACGTCATCCGGTTTGACCCCGGTTACACCGGTCGAACAGTGAACCTCTCCCTCTTCCAGTTTGTTGTCCGGTCCGGTTTTCACAACGTTGGTTATTTAATAAAATTAAATATACTAACAAATTTAATTAAAAAATAGAAATACTAATTAAAAATAAATTAAAATTACAATAATAAATTTTAATTTAAATCTTTATACTTAAATTAATAAAATAATTAATCATTTTTTTAAAATCATTTAAATAGTTAAAACTTTAATCAATTTAATTAATTTTTTAAAATTCTACCGGAAAACTGAAAAATCCGCTGGAAAATTTCGTGGGAAATAAGCCATCGGAAAACTGTCGGAAAGCCGCCTGAAAATTCTACGTTGGTCTTTCCGACCTTCGTCGGCCGCCGACTATTGTTCTGCCGACCAAATAAATATATCAATAGTGATTCTTTCAAGTCCCATCATGTAATTCATTTTATATGATGTATATTTATTACCTCAAGCGAAGGCCTTCCCCTAAAAAGGGTGTCATTTGTAATCAATTGCAAATAATAATGGATTCATTCAAACTGGGCCAGACCCCATGGTTTTCCCTATTTTCTGGGATTTTCATGTAAAAACTCTGGTGTCTCATATGAATGCTACGCTCTCTCTTTTTATCTGCGTGTGTGCTTGATCTTCGTAAAATGCTAAGATGTTAAACTTTATACTTCTCTACCGCCGTGAATATTTCAAGACGCAACAACTATTTAGTTTATGCTAATTGAATCAGAAATAAAAATAGCATAAAAAAATTAAATAGGTCACTTTCAGGAAAAAAAAATTAATAATAAATAAACATAGCATGATATCCAAATTAAAATAACATTTAAGTTTTTAAAATAATATTAATCACGTTACTAATGTTACTAAACTCGGTATGTAACTTTGTCATTATCTTACCCTGGAATCCCTATTAAATGCTCCCCAGCAATCATCTGAAAATAATAATAATAATAATAAGCCCAATAAAAAAGGAATAACAAATATAAAATTAATATAAGAAAACAAAAAATCAGACCTAAATTTATGTACTGGTAACCCAATGATGCAAGCCCAGTAGACACCATAGCATCAGCTGCAAAACAAAACACTAAATCAGAACAAATAATGCAATCTTCATCATTCAATTTACCTCCTCAAGATCATATAAAAAATAGAAATAAAATTCTCCATTTTATAATCAAATGCAGTGTAAAAATACGTTCTAAGGCTAGGGTAAGGGGGCTTCCATGCGAAGTTGGCAATGGAATCGATGACATGCAAAGGTGACGATAGACCTCCAGAGCGTGCAACAATGGAGTTTGGATCAGCAGTGTAATAGATGAAGAACACAACGAGATCTTTTTATTTTTTATCAGAGCCCATTCATTTATCAAAATGAAGTTACAAAAAAGAAGTTGAATACAGAGTAAAGTAAAAAACTATTGTACTTTCAAAAAATTATGAAGCACCAAAAGAAACCCATGAGACAGGAGAAACAAAATTACATTGAGAGTGACTGGTCTTATTTTTGTTATTATTTGAAGTTTTAAATTTAATGCTAGTAAATATTGAAACTTAAAAAAAATAATAAATAAAATTTCATGAGAGTAAATAAATTTTAAATAATAAAATTTTATGCGAATAAATATTTAACAATCTGATCACGAATAATATAATTTTATCTTAAAGAACTGTTCGAAGTCATTCAATTCTTCTCGGGCCTGTTAATATTGGGCTCATTTGTTTAGATCGATCAAGATTTGAGTAAAAAAATGGGTGGTTCAGATTAACTTAATCTGCGCCTCATTTCTATTGAGCTCAACAGTTTAAAATTTCTTTTTGGGAGGCCACCTAAGCTTCCAATTTAAGACCTCTTCATTAATTATTAAAACTCGCAACCAACAGATCGAAACCAACAGATCGAAATGAGTTCGGCAACATTTCAAAATCAAACTACTCCTATAAAAGCTTCTTAAAAGGCTCATCAAATTACCCGTTTCCATAATAAGCTTTTCTGTGATGTCGCACTTGAAATGATTCCAGCTGTTCCATCTGATACGCACCAACAAGCCAAAGTTTCAGCCTTTCACCAACATAAGTCGAACCAGTGGGCTCAAATATTGAACCGGACCTAGATGAGAAGAGCTCAATGCTTACCCCATGGGGGGGCTAATGACCAGATCGTTCTCCAGCACTTTCCTCCCTCGCATTTCCACCGTCCTTTCGGAAGATGAGCTGCTGCCTCGATGCATCTCCACCGTTGCCATCAGGAAGAAGAGAAGGAAGCTGAGTTGAACCGGTCCAGCCGGTTTGGAATGAGCCATGTTGGCTGGACTCCAAGGAGTCAGGCGACCTTCGCTTTATATACTTGTCCTGCAAAATTATGTAGCCTTTTTTTAAATATACATCTCTGACAACAAAATTTTATTTATAAGAGTCAACATATTTATCTTATTAGATACAAATTTCGATGTAAATAGATTCCAAAGAGTGTGCATTGATTTAAAATTTCATCTTGACATGATAACTGGACAAGCTGCTAAATTAAGAAAAATCTTTTCATAACTATCTTTTAAAAATAACTCATTTTGATATTTTAGTTAGGAGTTTTGATTATTAATTAAGATGTCTTAGGTTTGAATCTTACATATATAATGTGTGTGTGAATTTGACTTAAATTTCATTTGAGACAGTTTTTGGCTTTTTGCTGATTTCTAAAATGGCTTTTTAATATAAAAAGTTTTAATTTAGAAAATTTTTGTACTAGAAAACTGCTTAAGAAAATATCAAAAAAACTATCTCAAATGAGATAAAATTATTTTGTGTGATCACCGAACTATCCGGAGTCAAATAAGAGCACACCATTTCACCCAGTACATTGCGGTACACCATAGAAAAAAGTTACATAGCGCACTCTGATTTGCCTCTGCAGGCTGTTCGGTGACCGCACAGAATCTTTCTTTTTCTCAAATGAAGCCTTAATTGACCTAAATGTTTCAAATAATAAAAAAAATAATTATATTTTAATAAATATTAAGGCTTATATAATAGTGTTTTTAATAAATTGGTTGTCAGATCCTCTCTGAGCAAAGGAATTATTTGGTGCGAAATCTGGAGGTTGCTTTCCATTCGGATGGCAATAAAATTGTGACACGTGGATAGCCTATGTGGCAATTGCCGACGTGGATTGCTTAGTGGAATTCAGACGTGGCTTCAACATGTAAACCCCTCCATCCTCATTGAAAATCCGAATACATTTCAAATTAGGGTTGTCGCTTTTTTTTTTTTTTTTTTTTTTTGAGATTTCAGCCGCAAAGCTCCACATTATATAAGGTTTAGCAAAAATTTAGAGGCAAATTGAGAAAGTAAGAACATAAAAAAATGCCGGTGAAAATGAAGATTTATCTGGAGGAGGACGTTATTTTCTTACGACCAGATGATAATCTTAGAGGATGCGGGGGCCTAAAACAAGTATGAAGTCGTCGAGGAAGCAGAATAGTTCAAAGAAGTGCACCCAGGGCAAAGATAAATTTAGGAAATGTAGGCTTCAACTTATCGGTAAAGATCAAATCCCTTTAAGTTTTCTTTGATGCATTCATCTTTGTCCAATTTTTTTACAACATGGTAGCAATTACTGCGTACTTACTGCATATTTTGTACGTATTTACTACATATTATGCGTATGCACAACATATTTTTGTGCGTACTTATTGAATATTTTGTGCATATTTACTGCATATTTTTTAAATATGTACTTTATATTTTGTGTGTACTTAATGTATATTTTATGCATATTTGATGCGTATGAAAGCGCAATGAAAACACAGTGACAGCGCAGTGAAAGTAGGGTTGTCAAAACCGTATTACGGGTCGGGTTTGGGTCCGACCCAAAACTAACCTGGGTATATACGGATGAACCCAAACCCGACACATTTTTTGAAATGGGTCATTACACTGGACCCGAACTTGACACGCTTTGGGTCCGGGTCAACCCGACCTGACCCGTATGACCTGAAAAAAAAAATTAAAATCAAAATTTTTAATTAAAAATAAAATATACACAAATTAATTAATTTATAAACAATTTATAATTACAGTAGGTAGAGCAGTAGTTCAATCAACATATTGAACAATGAACATCGAGTACTGAAGTACATTAACATTTTACATATCATTTGGTCATTTGCAAAATTATAATATTTAGAAACTAATCGTTCATGTCTTCTTGAAAGTTGAAATGCTCCTGTAGGATCTAATAGTTTTGCATCTGTCTTCAAGCACGACATAGAATCAATTCTAATAAAACAAGTTAGATATTTATAAACCTTCAATATGATGATGCATTATACCTTCCAAATCTGTAATCACTTAATAAGGTTTAAGTTCAATCAACATTAGCAATTTAGCATATTACCATCCACGGAGACAAATTGTACTTTATATTAACTATTAAGTTAGTATGTATTCATTTATATATGTAGTATCTGCTCATTTTAGTAGAATACGGTAATAGAGAGTACTTTCTAACATTATGAAAGTGGAGTTCCACCTTGTTGGAACATCTTGCCTTAAGCCTCATTTCGATTCCAAACAACTCTGTTTCACACAATCTAAAAATTTGTGTTTCCTTGCTTGAGATCCCTTGACATATTTTATGCTCTCTCTGATTTTTGAGATTGAACCATCAATCTCCTTGATTCCTTCTTGGACAATAAGATTAACAATATGAGCAGTACATCTAATATGAAAAAACTAACCTTCACATAATAGAGCTCTTCTCAAGTTTAACTGATTTCTCAAGTAGTCAACACATATTTTGTTTGAGGAAGCATTGTCTAAGGTAATACTGAAAAGTTTAGCCTCTATTTTTCATTCAAGAAAAAGAGATTACAATTTCTCAAAGAGTGCTATTCCATCATGGTGTGGTGGCATAAAAGAAAAAAACTAATGCTTTTCTTATATAAATACCACTCAATATTAATACATTGCACGATCAAGAAAATAAATCCATCAGTGTTTATGTATGTCCACAGGTCAGATGTAACACAAACTCTGCTAATGTACTTACATAATGTTGATCAAATATTACAAAACTCTTTAGTGAATAATTTATTGCAGTATTCCTAGAAAATAGTTGAGCATCTCAACGAATATAGGTCATAATATGCTCGAACCCCTAACCATTCAACACATTAAAATGGAAAATCATGCATAATTATGCAAGCAGTAAATAACTCACGAAATTCTATGTTGTCAAACTTATGATCAATCATAGAAATAGATGTATTAGAACTAGTTTACAATATAAGCTGGCCTAATCACATATATCTCTTTTCTTGCAATTTTGCACGGGTCTCCTTAAGTTACATGTTCCTTTTTTACTGTCACATAATTATTGAGCACCACATCTTTTACATTTACACCTTTGTTTACCATCTATAGGATTAGCTAACATCTCAAAATGACCCCAAACCTTCGAAGTCATTCTTCCACGCTTCTTAATTACAACTAAACCATCATCACATGCATTATCAAATGCCTCTACCACATTGTCTTCAATGCAAATTATCTCAATTTCTTGAATATAAATATCAAGAATTGTGTTTGAATCCTCCATCTATTAATACAAATGTATCAAATTATACAAAAGAAAATTGAAAAAGTACTTAAAAATTATATATCCAAGCAACAAGTTTTTTTGCAAGTGAATAGAGAATTAGATATAGTCGTATGCCAATTGCCAACAACAAAAAAATATTGAGCCAAGTCAACCTCAATATGTAAATCAAGATGATATATGTATGCTAGTGATGTAATAATAGGTAAGACATAGTAGTCTTTTAAAATAGTTCATAGCATGTTTAAAGGTTCTATGAAGGATCTAGAGTTGACTAGCCTAGCATGTTGTATAAGTCATCCTAAAAAAATGTAAAACCTAATTGGTTAGTTTTTCATAATGATGAACTCATCAATTATGCTCAGATATATTATGTAATGCTTAAAACATATCATTCAAACAAAGTTTGTGATTTTTTAGGTTAATAATAAAGTAATCAAGTTAGATCACTATGGTGCATGTGTTATGATTACATTCTCCTATGATGTTTGAGTAAACAAGAGAAGTGATAGAGATTATATTATATATTCTAATTATTACAAAAAGAGAAATATTTTAAATAATTTTCAATAAATTAGGATATGCTCATGACAACAAAATATGCCTTTGAAAAGACTGCTATTGTAATGGGCCCACTAGGTGCAATATGATAATTTTGTAAAATATTCTTATTTTTATTTGAAATATATATGACCCATTGGAAAAATTCATAAAAGTGTATATTTTTTACTTAAGAGTTCGTTCCAAATTTATTTGAAAATTTAAGAATGATTTAAGAATGTAACTATTTTCTTTGACTCGACATTATGAGGCATCTTCGGTGAAAATTCCATAACATTTAAACTTCAAGATTGTTCATAACAAAAACTTTAAATAAATTTATTGATATCCTAATTAATTCCAATTTTAGAGCTATTAATTAGACTAGTGTGTGATTTTACTCAAATAGAGACATTGTGCCAATTTAAGAAAATAATGAATGCCTGATTTTGTCTTCCTCACTCATGTGGGTTGGGCTAGAGTCAGTTGATTGGACCCATGCCCATTCATTTAACTACTTACGAATAACTTTTCAAAGAGATCATTGTATAGGGAGCAAGGGGAGACCTAGACTTCCCTTCCATGCACTTAGCTCACATAGTTATAACCTCAATCACCCCATAAATTTGACCTCTTTATAGTGACTGAGGGTTAAATTTTTATACCTATGTGAATTACCAAACTCATCAAAATTAATCCCTCAAATTTGATTAGGTAAGAGGAACAAAAATGTCTCTATGATTAATTAGAAACCATATAGATTGATGGATAACTTAAAACCCTAAATGTTTGGTTGTATTAAAGGAAGGTTGAGCTTTTTGAAGCGCGGAAGGTGAAATAGGTGGTTTCATTCATAAAATATTTTGGCATTTTAAAAGGGCTAATAAAATTGAAGAATTGATGTACACTTTACTCTTTAGTGTCAGCTGAATCAAGCCAATGTTGGGCTTAGACAATCTAAAAAAAAGTCACCTAAGTCATAATAATTGAATCGCCTTGAATCATCTTAAATCCTTATGACATAGGAAACAAGTAATCTAGAGCCATCTAAGAATTCGTTTGGGACAACTTTCTTATTACTTTACAAAGCAACTTTTTTAGTATAAAATTTTTAATTAAATAATTTTTTGTACTAAAAAACTGCTTTAAAAAGTAATAAGAAAGCTGTTCCAAACAAAGCATAAGTTTCATATGACTAATTACTTAAAAGTAGAAATAAGGTAAAAATGAATACTAATTAAAGAAGATTAGTACTTCATAAAGAATCTATTTAGAGATAGTATATGAAAGGGGCATATACGTGAAAAATGTTGGAGTAGCTCCAGTGGTAGATAATATTAGAGAGAGACATCTGAGATGATTTGTTCATATAAAACGGCGGCCTTCCGATGACCCAGTTAGGAGTGTAGATGTATTAGATTTAAACTATGTTAAGAAAAGTTGAAGTAGACCTAAAAAGTCTTGGTTAGAAAAAAATTTTTTTTTTTTGAAAGAAATGCAATTTGCATTGAAAAATAAAGGTAAAGCAATTAGAAAGTATTAGGTGATAGAAATGCTATCACATTCCTCATTTAAAATTTTTAAAAATAAAGGAGGAACCTTATTACTACTAAGATCTTCCCAAAGAAAATCTTCACTTAATGCTAAGTTAGCACAAAAATGGGCTTACTTATTACAATTCCTATTTACAAAATGAAATAGAACCTTACCAAACTCATCCAAAAATGAGAGGTCTTCAAGCTCTTCCTCCTGTATAATCCAGGATCCATTATTCACCCAATTTTGCAAATGCTTTATATTATTGAAGCCCTTTGCCTTCAATAATAAAGCCCTTTGCCTCCAACATCCAATCAAACATGAATTTCTTCAATGAATAAACCGCCAACAACTCCAACAATCCACTGTCCCAATGAGTGAAATTAATTCCAAAGGCAAGTAAGAATCTACCTTCAGAATCTCTGACAATTCCACCAATGCCTCCATTGTAATAACTAATTAAATCCACTTCCAAGTTAACCTTAATCCATTCTGGAGGAGGGGGGTGCCAATGAGAGAACAGCCTATCTGGCTGGTTAGCACTCCAGTGATCCAAGAACAGATTAGATTTTGAGATAGATGCATAACTAATAGCACTCGATGCTATATAATTCAAACTTAGTTCTTGTTCTCCATGTTTGAATAAATTTCTACTCTTCCATGAGAAATAAACTAGAGAACAATATAAATTTGCAATGGAGTTATTGTGTTCCACTAATTTTTTCAATATCAACTTATAGTCATTAGCATAAGTGAAATCCGGCACAGGGAAACCCCAATTCTTCAGCACACCAATTTCTTGCTTCAGTTTCAAGCATTGAACCATAACATAATCAGCATTTTCCGGTTCATTACATCCTCTTGGGCATAAACGTTGACCCAGTAGCCTCTGATACATTAGAAAACCATTCGTTGGTAATGCATCATTAAGAAGTCGCCACCAAAAACATTCAATTTTAGGATTGAGGTGTAACTTTTTCAGCCAACTTCCATACTCAACTGGTTCATTATTCCCATAAGAATAAGAAGCCATCACTACTATACTCTTGCTCGAGAATCTCTGTCTCAACTCCAACATATATTTGTTTTGATCTGGAAATATTTCTATATGCATAATCAACTCCATGAGAGCCTCCCCAAAGAATTTATTTAGCAAATGTTCCTTCCAACAACCATTAGAATTAAAGTTCTCAAGTGATGGAAATTCAAAATTCCCCACAACAATAAATGTTGGCCATTTATCTAGACTTATGACTAGAATCCATACGTCCTTCATTATGTCTAACGACTTTCCTGTTGCAAATTTCCACCTTGTGATCAGAATAAGAGCATGAGCACCATTAGCAAAAATCTTTCAAGTAATAGATCTATTATTTCTATTAGAAAGTTCCCAGAATTTCTCACCATACTTTGCTAACAAAGTCCTATTCAGCAAAGACTCTTCTCCCTTTAAAAATTTCCTAGGAAACTTTGCTCTAAGGGAACCAGTCACAGCAGCCACCGAATGTATTCCTTGGCCCCCCTCCTTCCAGGTTTTGCACATTTTTTCACAAGACATATAATGAAGGCCGTGAAGTCCTCCTCTTCTATCCCAAATGAAGCTCCTAGCCGCATTATCCACTTCTTTAAGAACACTCATTGGAACCAATGAGTGGGTTGCCACAAAAACTGGTAAAGCCACCAAAACAAATTTGACTAGAACAAATTTACCAGCTAGCGAAATCAATTTATTACCCCAAACATTAAGTTTAGAGGCAGCCTTCTCAAGAATATAATTAAAATCTAAAGCAACCAACCTTCTCAACGTCATCTTAATGCCCAGATAATTAAATTCTTTCACAACTTTGAAGCTCCATAATTTTTCTATAGCCTTCTTCCTCTTTCTTTTCACTGATTTTCCATAAAGTATCACAGATTTTTGTTCATTTATAGATTGCTTAGTTCTTCTACAAAAAGCTGAAACAATTTTGTTAAATCTTCTCATACAACTCATACTAGCTTGGGAGAACAAAAGTATATCATCTGCATATAAGAGATGAGATATTCTAGGTGCATTAGCTAAACTTTTAATCCCCAAGTTCTTTCCTCTATATCACATATCATTCGTCAACAATTGAGATCAAAGAATAAACAAATAGGGAGATAAAGGACAACCTTGTCTAAATCCACTATTTGCTTTAATCCCTTTTGAAATTCTCCCATTCACTAATAAGAAAAATTCAAGAGAATCAACACATTCCATAATAAGATTCATAAATCTTCTAGGAAATCCCAGCTTACTTAACATCAATCTCAAAGTATCCCAAGCCATACTATCGTAAGCTTGTTCCATATCAAGCTTGAGAGCCACCCAACCTTTCTTAGCTTTAGAAAATTTGAATTTATTAAATAAATCCTGAGCTAACAGAATGTGGTTCGATAAGGATCTACCTCTTAAAAAAGCTACTTGCTTCTTTGAAATGATTCCTCCAACCACTTTTAGAAGCCTGTTTAAGATCATTCTTGCAATGATCTTATATAGAGTGCCACACAAACTGATAGGCCAAAAACCTGAGGGAGAGCAAGGGTTCAACACTTTTGGAATGAGAACCACTACTGTCTGCTTCCAGTAAGAACACATTTGCCCTGTTCGAAAAAACTGTTGTATTGCTTTCCATACATCATTCCCTGTAATGAACCAATAACTTTTGAAGAATGAGTAAGTCATCCCATATACACCGGGTGAAATACTAGTTCCACTATATTTAATAACAGTCTCCAGCTCTGCATAAGAGAACTCCTCCTCAAGCATCCTACAATCTGCATCTGAAAGAGAATTTAGAACCGGAGGCCAACCACTCAAAATACAGCTTCTACTCCTCCATTTATTGCTAAAGAATTTCATCAGGACATCTTCAATTTCAGTTTGCTCTTCTACCAAGATACCTTGATCATTCTTCAGTTGATGTATTGAATTCCCCATTCTTCTCCCATTTTTGCAAATGTATGAAAAAAATTTGAATTCATATCACTTTCCTTTATCCATTTCAATTTTTCTCTTTGTTACCAACAAGTGCTTAAATGAGCCAAATTCACATTAAACTCATGAATTTTATACCTTAACATCGTCGGACAAACCTCCTCCATTGGACTCTTCCAGTTGTAACATTGAAATCTCAGTCTTCAACTTATTTTTTAACTCCATAAAGTTCTTCATCTTTGCCTTATTCCAATAATGGAGAGCTTTTAGAGTTCTCTTGCACTTCATATTTACCACTTCCATAGCATTCCCCTATACAGGTCTGTTCCAAGACTTTTGGACTATAGCTTTTGAAGCAGGGAAAGAGGCCCAAACCTCTTCATACTTAAGCATTTTATTTCTGTTAGCCATGTCATTGAAAATTCTCAGAATTAATTGACAGTGGTCTGAAGCTATCTGTTCCAAATGCCTAACAACTTGATTTTGAATTCCTTCCATTGCTTTTGTGTTCTAAAGACATCTATCTAACCTTTCAAGTATGTGAGCATTGAAATTTTTGTTGTTGCACCATGTATACTTTGGGCCTACAATCCCAACATCATGAAGATCATTTCTAGACATAAAAGCATACATTTCTTGTGGTCCTTGAGAAAACGAGAATTGTTTTCCTCCCCTCTTCTCATCTTGTGAAAGAACACAATTGAAGTCTCCTCCCACAACTAGAGGGGATTCTTTATTACAGTTCTCTTCTAATTTCTCCCACAAGCTTCTTCTCATATGTGGATTTTTATTGCCATAAACTATAGAAACAATCCACTTACTTTCATTCAACAAGCTTTGCTCCCCAATCACACATTGAGAAGTGGCCTCAATTAAAGAAAATTTTAAAATAATTACTTTCTAGAACACCATAATACCATTGGAAGCACCAACTGAAGGATAAAGGAAGTAATCCCAATCATCACCCAATAACTTGTTCACTTCATATCTCTCCAAAGAAGAAATCTTGGTCTCAACCACCCCAACAAAGAATACATCCCAATTTTTCACAAACTCTTTTAAATATAGGGAGGCCTCCCTCTTATTAGCCCCCCCTACAATTCCAAAAAGCAAGAGAAGTCATTTGGATAAAGGTGGGGAAGGACCCTCACATTTACCTTTAATTTTTACCTAAGCTTTTTTGGATCTATAAGAGTTGCTCAAAGGTCCCAAATGCCTTAGCTCCTTCAATAGCTTTGGCTTTTGAGAACCAGGAATAGTTTCTCCATAACATTTCTATCTAGATCATTATGACTTTCTTCAATATTGCCTTCTGATCTCACCTTGACTTCTCTATCTTCATTACAGCTTTCAATAAGCAGGCTGATTTCACCTTCTTCGAACTCTATCTCTATCTGTAAACTTTCGGCAACTGATTTTGTAGAGAAGTCCTCTTCACCAATCATCTCCAGCAGGCTGAATTTATTACATTCCTCAGGAAAAGAGGCAGAAATCTTTGCAGCTTCTATTTCTTCAATAGCACCAACTTGCTCAACCCGAACTTCCTTCACATTAATAGGAGCTTCTACAGTCAGATCTTCCTTTCTATGTACTTCTGAAACCGGCTCAGTTACATTCTCACCCATATATTTGGTAGTATCTTTAATAACTACCTTTTTTTCTGAAAGGCAGGCTTCCAACTTCTCTTTCTTTTGTGTTTGACATGGACCCACGATCCATAATTAGATACTTCATTAGGATCTTTAACTATTCCTCCCATCCCTTCTTTAGAATTTTTTCCAGAACAGTCATTAATTGAACTATCTTTCTCCTTGCACATGTTGATGAGGTGACCAATTTTACCACAATGGTAGAAAAATCTTGATATCTTTTCATACTCAATCTTTTGGAAGAACTTCCCTTCAAGACCATCAACCCGAACTCCCAAAGGTAATTTTTTATCAAACTCTAGACTGATGCACACTCTAGCAAACTCTCTTCTACCTCATCGGAACATATCTCCATCAATAAGCAAAGGGGTCCCAATTAATGAAGCAATTCTAGCAACATTAATTTCATCCCAACAAATGAGTGGAAGATTCAGCAATCTTATCCACACAGGAGATGTCAAACCCTTCAAGGAAGTTGTAGAAAATTTTGGACTCCATTTGTCTAGTCCAATGATATGATCATTTACAAACCATGGTCCTCCTGAAATAACTTTTTCCATAGCCTCAAAAGCAACAAAAGAACAAAGAATCCAACCAGAGCCAATAATTTTTTAATGAAAATTACCAAATTGAGACCATTGACGTCTCAATTCTACCGCTATAACTTGTATTGGGATCGTTCTATCAAAGACTTTAACCACAATGGATTTATGAAATCTTTCCGATTTCTCAATCATTTTTTGTTGACATAATTTGACGGCCAATCCATCCTCTGACAGGACCGATTCATCCATAGATATATTCACCATGATATGAGCATGTTTATTCCAGGGATTCAATGACTTCTTAATCGGTGAAGGATTCAACCTTTCAGCAATAGGTTGAGCATTCTCACAAATACTTGACGTGCTTCCTTCTATCTTCTTGAAAGAAGCTTCTCCCTTAGCCAAATTCATATTGTTACCAAACCGATTTACAAAGATCTTCATACCCGAAGATGAAGAATCCAAATCTTTTGTATTATCATACAAATTTGCCGATGTATTTTCCGCATTTGCATCCAAAGCCACTTTCTTCCCTTTACCGATATCTGGCAATGAAATTTTGACTCGATCAGAGCAGTTCTCTCTGATAACCAATGAGCCATTGAAAGATTTAGGAAATCCCAATTCCGCCATGGGACCTTTCATGTTCATCAGCAGACTAACATAATCCAGTCTTGACGTCGTCCAGCCATCAGACATGGCCGTCGCATTACCGGCCAACAACTCCGGTGAAGCCGCCAAAGTAACAGAAATTCAAAATCTTGAAGTTTCTCTCAGTAGAAAATGGGAGTTTCTCTCACTAGAAAATGGCGAAGCTGACCAAAATTTTGAAGGACCATCCTTAGTTGGTTGGTTAGAAAATATTAGAAGAAACTTTCTTTATTATATCTAAATGAGAATTTGACTCTTAACCCGACACAATGGACAAAAAATATTCATGTTCTCCAATTCAAATTCATCCATTGCACTTGGCATTTGAACAACTAGCACTACTCACTAAGTGTTTGGTTAGCATCTGATTAGAAATACTACCAACAATACTTGCTCAATGAATGGTTATTTCCTCCTACAAGTACTCATCTGAGGCACTTGTAACTTGAGAGATGACTACTTGATACTTAAATGACTGGCTGAAGCAATTGTTCCACATCCATCTCATCAGTTTTTGAGTCCTTTAAGGACTATGTACTTGTTATTTAATATTAAAGCGTAAGCCCCTTGTGGGTTAAAAAAAAAGGGATATGCTTTTTGAAGCGTAGAAGGTGAAATAGGTTGTTTATATTTTTCATTCATCTAATATTTTGGCATTTTAAAAGGGCTGATAAAATTGGGGAATTGATGTACACTTATACTATTTAGAGTCAAGTGAATCAAACCAATGTTGAGCTAAGACAATCTAAACAAAGATAAGTCACCTGAGTCATAGTAATGAATAGCCTCGAATCATCTTAAATTTATAAGTCATAGGAAACAAGTAATCTAGAGCCATCTAAGGCATCATTTTTGACAGCTTTCTTATTGCTTTCTAAATCAACTTTTTTGTATACAAATTTTTATTCAATAATTTTTTTTTACTAAAAAACTTCTTTAAAAAATAATAAGAAAGTTGTTCCAAACAAAACTTAAGTATGTGAAAATAAGGTGAAAAGGAATACCA